CCCTTTTGAGATGTAGTGGTCTTATGTAAGCGCACTTGATACAGGGGTTTCCGTAACTTTGTCCTTAATCAGCTGCAAGTGGTGTAAAAGGGGTCTGTGCCCGGAAGAGGGGTCGCAAAGTTTTCCCTCTGGGTCAAGGGACATGCTCCCTCAGAAAAAAAGTGAAATCTAGAGACTCGGAAATGTAATTTTCTGCATTCTGGTCGTCATGAAGAGTATTGTTTTAAATTTAGTATTTATTGGCACCTCTATGATTTGCCTGTCATTTCTGAGTTAAAGATCACTGTATTGTTTCCTTGGGTTGAAGCTCTCAAGTTTTCCTTAGAGTTTCTCTGTGCTACTGAACGATTAGCTTTCTCTCTCTTTATTCCTCGTGGAAATTTCAGTGATAACTCCTTTAATATTTGGTTAATAATTCACTCAAACCGTTCGCGGCTGATAAATTTATTCCTCAGATTTCATGTTTGTTCTTACTTTCTTTGTAGGAAAAACATGAGAAAAGGCTACATGGAACTGTATGACCTGAACAGAGATTTAATCAATGGCTACAAGATCAGATGTAATAATCACACAGAGCTTCTGTCCTGTCTAAAACTTGTCAATCAGGCCATCCAACGAGCTGGAAAGCTCAGAGGTAACGGATTAACTCAGTGCATTAACCCCCTGGCTCTCAGGAATGATCATGTGGTACATTCTCCCCACAACTCTAAGACACTGTTCAGGATACAGGCAATGAGAGTTAAGCAAATTATCACACAGAGGTTATTTTGAGATATAACTCTCAGATTCTCCTCAAGAGCCTTCAGAAAAAGCATAATCATCAGTTAGGGCGTTAACTTTGAATTCGTGCGGATGACTCAAAGGGTTAAACGAAGAGCATCCAAATTTTTTGGCCAGTTGTTGGAGAAAAGTAAGAACTTGCATTTTTGTCCTCACTAATGGCTCTTGTATAAGCCCTCCACCTTTTTCCTCTTATAATCTGCCCCCTCAAACAAGCCCCTCTCTAATTGGCTCAAAGCTCATGTGAGCCCCTTTCACATAAGCTCCTCTAGAGAAATTCTCTCTCTTAAATGAGTCCTCTATCTGGATGACCTATGTATTGTTAAGCCCCTCGTGGTCTTATCTTAAACATTCGCCATATCCAGGGGAATGTTGTACAGCTTTCAAGGATGCTTTATCGTCGTCTAATCCCTGACTTTTCATTTTCCTGCAGTGGGCAAAGCTAAATCTCAAGTTATTGCAGGCTGCCGACAAGCGATCAAGAACAACAATGTCAACGGCTTGTTCAAGATAATCAAAGCTGGTTCCCTATGAAGTCTCACCGTCACAGTTCCTAAAGCATTTATTAAACTTCAGAGGCCGGTTTTTTAAATGACTTTTGAATCCGGCTGCGGTGTAGACAATCGGCAGTCCCGTGAGCTCTTTGCATGTGGGTTGTTGGAATGAAATGCGTGTTTTCCAGTGTTCATTAGAACCGTCCTTGACATTGCTTTAACAAAATCAACGTTTAGATTCAACGTTTGCCTTTATTGAGGGCTGTTTAAAAACTGGTCGTGGTAAAAAAAAAACGGCTTCACTCTGTTTCAGAATTTTGCCCATTGAAAGTTGTTCTTAAGGTTATGTTAGATGGCCTTCAAAAAATTAATTAATTTATGAAGAAGAGGTAAATTGTACTTGCCCTACGGGCTCGTGCAATTTTGTTGTCTTTGAAAGATTTCCTTGTACTTATTAACACCAAATTGCACTCGAAATTATGTCATTATCTATTCTTAGTACTGAGTGCGTCTGCTTTACAGGCTACATTATTTTAAAGGTGCGCCCACAGAAGTGGTGTAACCAGCTGGTTAAAAGCCTTTGATGCTGAATCTTTAGGCAGTCTCGAGAGAAATGAGAATGAAATTGTGGATTAATTTTTCCTTCGTTCGCTGCTCCGCAGCCTTCATCTTCTTTGAGTGCCCACATTGTAAATAGTAGCAAGGCACAAGGAATGCTTATTCAGTAAAGGCTGTAAGATTTGAAAAATTGATCAAATTTCAATGGTGGCTTGTGTTTAGGGTAAGAGGGAGTCACAGTCTCTTTTCTTGTCTAAATATGGTTCAACCAAGTCGAGAAGGAGAGGGTGGGTGCGTTCAACATTGGGAAGCATTAGGGGTGGAAGGTGTGAGGATGGTTTTTCATGTTACGACCTCAACGCCTAAAATCATCTCTCTGTAGTAAGAACGTTTTGCAAGAGTCCTATTCTACTGATTGGCACTTGGCCGTGTTTCGCGGAAACAAATTTGTGCTCTTGGTACGGCTAAAATTTCTGTTAGAAACTTATTTTTGTAATTTTATTTATGTAAGCGGCAGCAGAACATTAACAAGGAAGTGCATAAAGATCCTCCTTCGCAGAATGACGCAGGCTAGGACACAAATGTCCTTTTCCACTCTCCTCCAGGCGATCAGCGATGAGATTTACTGTTTAGTCAGTATTGATGTTCAGGTCATTTGTCCTAGAAACTTTTTAAAAAGGACAAGTAATGTGCTCAACTGGAGTTAAAGCAGAATATTAGGAAACTGGTGGGCTATTATAACCAGCATTGGTCGGTTTGGCATAATAACAGATGTTACCCTTCTCTGAAGATTGTACTATGATATTATCAAGAGGGTTAGGGTTAGGGTTACGGTGACAGCTTATGTTTCCTCATGTAATTTAGTGTTAACAACTGAGTTGAAAACGTAAGTTGTAAAGAGTAAAAAAGCTGACGTTTCAAGCTTCTTATGTCCTCAGTTAAGTATCATTCTGGTAAAAACCACGACCCTGAAGATTAGGATACAAGATCAGACGCCACCAACGGTTGTTGTTATTGTTAAGTATAAGGATTTTACTTTTCCTCGGCTTCTTTTCAATAGAATAAAGGAGTAAGTTTCTAAAGAAACTGTGGTGCTGCGTCGGTGGGAGAGTATAGCAGGTAATTTAGTGTTAACAACTGGGTTGAAAACGTAAATTAGCCACCGCAAAGGGTAAAAAAGCTGACGAGCGCTTTTCATTCAACTAATTTATTCCTGTTTTCTCGTCACCATATTCCCACCAATGGCGTAGCTCCACTTTCTACATAGAAATCCACACACAACCCACAATTCCTCTAATCGCTCTGACGAAGGGCTAACGCTCGAAACGTCAGCTTTTTTACCCTTTACGGTGGCTAATTTACGTTTTCAACCCAGTTGTTAACACTAAATTACCTTCTTTTCAATAGTATCCACATGATATCCGTGTAAGATCCTTTGATCTACCTCTTCACGCAAGGAAGGAAAAATGACATACCGAATCTCCTCAAAAAAGCGCCTACACTGTAACAAACGCCCCTCCACAAATAAGCGCCCACCCCCAAGTCCATAAATCAAACAAGCGTCCCCTGAGCGCCCCCACTTGAATACCCCGTCTCCCTTCCCCACTTAAATAGTAAGCTTCAACCACAGCTGGATCAGTACAGGTTAATAGTTTCTTAAAAAGCGTTCCCTTCGATAAGAGCCCTCCATCCAATAAGCGCCCCTCTCTATAAGAAATCAACCACATTTTTACTTTGTCGTCAGATTTGGCAATTATACCTTAAAATCAGGTGCTTACTTCAGTTTGCTAATGTAGGTGTGAAATATTAACAGCTAGCGCGGGTAGTCCAAACTCGTTTAATGAACCTGCGTAAGTATGCAAACATGTCTATATTGCGCCATGGGCAATAAGGATTTCTATGGGAATAAACAGCCGCATTTTTAACCTGAAAAATCTGACCTAGTATTAAACAAAAAACGAACCTACCTTGCTGCTGTCTCTGTTCCTTTGCATCTTTTGAATTTTCTAAGCTAGTTAAGTTGTGCTTGGTTCTTTTGAAATAACAAATTAAATATCTTTTTTAATCAGGAAATTGTCAGTCTTTAAACTCGGCCATTCACAATGTTTACTGCTGTGCAGTTTTTTTAATTTCACTGGAAGGAGGATGAGTAAAGAGAGTTTACCAATCAAGGTCAGGGGAAATCTAATTCGGATTGATAGCAAGGTATTCACAGAGAATTCATATTCTTGCGACGAAGAAAGCGAAAGCGGTTGCAAAAGAGGAGGAAAACAAAACGCTTTTGGGGTAGGGATATCTTTAAAGAAAGGAAAAGTCAAGGTGATTTTTACAACCTCGTGGAAGAGCTACGACTTGGAGATTGTGAATATTATTTCAAGTAAGCTTATGTACATGGGTTACGGAGATGGAAAGTTTTAAAATATTAAATGTAGACAGGTAAACTTTATCTGTTTACGTTATTCTGTGTTAGCTTCAGAAAGTTAAGATGAGCTTTCTGTTTCCTTAGCTGATTGAATGAAATTCAGTTTTATGTCTTTGCTGATGAATTGTTATCGTTGGCTTTTATCACCTCAAATTTTAGATATTTACACATGAGCCCAGAAAGGTTCGAACATTTGTTGACCCTGGTTGGCCCCTTAATTTCCAAGAAGGCCGCTAAAATGAGAGAGCTCATTTCTGCTGCAGAGCACTTCAATAGGTTAATGGATTGCTCTTCTGGTTTGAAAATTCATTTTACTTGCCTTGTTTATATTATGGAGAACATGGTATTAAGTACATTTGTATTGTATTGAGGTTATTTACTAGATTGGAATAGATGTCATAGTGTTGATATCATTAGAGTTAATGTCTATTGCTAGGTGATATTTTAGGTATATTTTTGGTTCATGCCCACTAACTCCTTATTTACGTATCATCTTCACTCTCTATTTATGATCACACAGCGAGTCTTCTTCAAAATATAAATTTTTCATTCGTGGCCTTTGTAGCTAAGGTGATTGAAGCGCCAAACTAGAGTCTGGCAGTTTGAATCCCGTCAAAGTCTGAAGTTTTTCAGGCTTCATTTCTGTAACTTCTTCAATATTGTAACGCAGCTGTGAGGATCATTTCTTAACTTCTATCTTCTGCTGGTCAAAATATAATGGTCATTTATCGTTTGCTTTTACCCGCATGGGTCGGAGAGTGAGCAGAGCTGAGCGATTTGATCTGATTTAAGTATTAGTTTTAGTTATATAAGTATTAGTTGTAGTTATGAATCGCATGCTATGGTCAAGTCACAAGTTGAAACACTTATTACCATTTACGTATGTTCTGCGAACAAATGGTGAAAGCCTATTTTTTTTTAGACAGGGAACCTTTACATCTGAATATCTCATGTTCATATCGTGATAACGTATCTATTCCCCTCAAACCATACCATTTCACATTGGTTATTCATACCAAGTCATGTCATATTATGCCCTCGAGCCAAGTACTGCGAATCTTACCTTTATTTAGCGGTGATCTGTCACCCTTCATGAGGCCTGTGGAGATTTGATTCACAGCATTCCGTTTGTCCTTTCCTTCTTCTCTCACTTTTCTACAGAACTTACTGGCTTTTATGGTATCTTAATGTTAGGGTTACAGAGGCGACCGTCCAGGAATTCTTGGTTACATAACACGCTTTGATTCTGACTGGTACCTGAAGAAGGCTTTCTTCATGGCATTGACATCTTTCTTCCCAGATGCTGTCATTCATTTAGGTTTGTGAAGAGAAAAAGTATAAGTAAGATGGAATTTACGGCGATCTAGAAACAATTGTTCCATGCAAAGACAAAAATAATCTTTTTCTTTGTCACATGGCCAGAAATTGGGGACAGTCAGCTGTCAACAACGCGGGCGCCACAGGAACTACGTTTCATCCTTTGGCACCTATGTAGTGGGTTCGACCAAAGTTTTGAAAAAATGTCAAATGTCTCTTTTTATAAGACACTGAATTCTCTAAACAGGTTTAACTGATTGTGAGATTAACCAGGGAAGCCCGTCTTTGCTTAGTGTTAATTTCATCTGCACGGTGACACTCGAATATTGGCATGATAAAACTTAATTTTTACTCTGTAGTTCCAAATTGTTTGGTACTTGTTTAGTGACAAATTATTATTAAGTGTATTCACATACGTAGACAGTGTTCCAAGTTGCAACCGTTTTGGTCGCTAGGGCGAGTGAAAATAAATTTGGCGATCGAAAATATATTTGGATCGAGATTTTCACCCGCAACTGGGACATATGTTTAAGAGCTGCGATCATTTAAGGCCAGCAGAAAATACTTTAGGGCTTTGTAACCACTCTTAATAGCAATGGCGTTCGAAAGGAACCGTCATAGGTCCCGAAAACTGCTCGCAAATCGCTTCTTCTTCGTCCATTTTACGCATTGCTAAGTCTGAAAATGGATTTTTAGAATTCGCCTATTTTACGGGAAAAATGACCCATTAAAACAAGAATTCAGTCTTGAGGGTTCAAATCTCACAGTTCAACTTTTGCCTTAGCGGAATGGACGCTCGAAAGTTGGAAGGACCTGTTGGTGGCCGTAATTTTGACTGAGAGGAAGGTATTCAACCAAAATTACAGAGCCATGTATGGGAAATGAGCAGACTGTAGAGCGACGGTTGGGAACCCATCCAGCATGCGCTCGAGATGCTTCGAATAGACTCGATTTAACAATTTGATCTTCTCCTGAAGCTTCAGACGTTCGCATGTGAGTAATTTCCCCTCTGACTTAAGCAATTTTTAAAAGTTTTCTTTTTTCTCTTACGAAGCCTTAAACGAGCGGCATTTTAAATCTCAGTAAAGGAACGTAGAGCGCATGCTTGGACGCCATGTTGTCCTCGATTTCTGGCCGTATGAGAAATCGATCATCAAACTCACCGATTTCTCGGCGGATTGACGTTCTGAGAACCCGTTGCGGAGTTCGACCAACTACTCGCATAATTTGTGCTGATCATTGTGCTTGTTGTGATCGCTCATTAGGGACATTCGGTTGTAATAGGTGATGTATTTGATGAAGGATCCATTGCTACTGCTGAGGAATTTCAAGAGTATAAGGTAACAAGACTTCATGGTGTTACAAATCACATATCCTAACAACAATTATAATTTGTAACTTTTGAATCTTTCGACCCGAGATTTTGCTGTATTAAAGAGATTGCGGTCATATTCATGACAATTTAGCACGCCTGTAACTTGTAGGAATTCGACATGGAAAAACTACTACAGAATTGCTTTCAGGTTCTGGACTAGTAAGAAAATCCTCAAAAAAAAAGTGAACTGAATTTTCAAGTGCATTTGTCCCATCGTGTTCTCGTCGACTCCTTCTGGTATTTACCTCTCTTCTGTTGGGCCCTTGTCATTACCTTTTTATGGGTTCTCAAGGAAAAATTTGCAAAGAACTTATAAAAACTAACTTAGGTGCCTGCAGCGAAGGAAAAGATAAGGGAGTGGGCTACGATTTGACTGCAGTTTCATATTTGATCGGTTGAGATGGAAGCCTAAGTTTTCTAGACCAATCAAGTACATGCAATCAATAAGGACATTTCTTTGAGCGCTCAGTGGAAATTAAACTCAGCTCTGTTCAGAAAGTTGTTAGCAGAGTCAGTTGACGGGAACGGAAGGAGGAGTGGCGAGCTTCAAAGACCGAAGATATTGTAATGGTTTTCGCTTAATAAAGAGAATGAAACCTAGCACTCCGAATCCAATACGGCGCCAAGTTCATACCCAAAGTTGTTGGCTATGAGCTATCCTGGTTTCAGTAAGCGCATCATATTTATTTCAGGCTAGACACGATAGGATTTTTCATACCCCGGCTGGAGTTTATAGAATTCATATAGCCGGAGACAATGACATTGGAGGCGAATCGAGCGATATTATTACAGAGGAAGAAGTGGCAAGATTTTCAGCAAACATGGGCCCACTAAACGATGTTATAAAGCTCAAGTACACTTTTCAGATAGTGAAGGTAATCCTTTACCCTTTTAGTCAAAAGGCGTGAATTTGGGTAAGGCAAAGTTGGTATCTATTTCAAAGCTAAGAATTTTTAAAAAATAACGAGGTAACATTATTTTCACTTGGTGTCACATTAATGTATCAAGAAAAGCTGATCAAATTCAAAGGCAATGCCCTTTGTTTAGTGTCTCAAATATGGCCATAAAAGGATATCTTGAAACAATAGCTTTATAGCCAAACGATGGGTTATTAATTCACTAGGGGAATTCAAACTCGCTGCCATTACAATAGTGAAATTTACGAAGTCAATTCAAACATAGCCGATTGCTGCACGAGCGCGAAATTTGAATATTTGGCGAAAGCGCGTTTATGTCAAATCTTACCCTGGGGAGAAGGAGGGAGTTACTTTTTGTTCAAGGTCACTTGCTACTCAGGGAGGGTCGGCCAAGACACAGAATGTCGCAACTGAGAGACTGACAAAGAGTGATGAAACCAAACGAAATTTGAATCAGTGTGAATGGTCACGAATGAAGTTAAAACCGATTTTTATTTGTTCGGTATTTTAGAAAAAAGAGCGTAGCTATAGTTTGACGATTGAAAATAACTATTATATGGTTATTCTCTGTTTTTATAATCATTAATAAAAATGTGGTTATGGAACTTTCACAGATAAATTCAGTGAGCTTGCTAAGAAGGAGGCCCTTCGTATCGGAATGGAAGATCTATAATGACACAATGGCCTTTATTGACGATTTGCCCTCAAAGCTTGATCCCGATAGAATTTCCATTCTTATTGGACACGTTCCGCTTACTCATACAAGTGGAAGCCAGGTAGTTCCAGTGATAAAGGTAAGCTTTACCCGGAGATTATGTATCAATTACGGAGCAGTTCCATGATTTTTTGACAAAAGAAGAGGACTGTTAAATAATTTTGTAGGCATATATGTCTTCCTGACAATTCAAGTCCGTGAAACACTGAAGCTAAAATGAAGAGGTACTTTGAAGATTGCCCAATTCAATCCAAAAAAACTAACCTAAATTTAAAAAAAAAGATTAAACTCAGTCTGTGAGAGTTTTCACAAAGAAAGATTTCAGGTTGAGAGGTGGGATCTTCGGTCTTAGCCTCGTCATCAGTCCTCGTTTAATTTCTCTCAAACACGCAATACTGCCTTATTACGTACTAACTGAGGGATCTGATGCTTCTGTTGAACTAAATTGAAACTTATCATTAAAGTTGTTTAAGTAAAGTGATGCAATCATTTTGCTTTACAAATGAACGTGTTTCTCATCTCATGTCCTAGTTAATAGAGGCTGTTCAACCACAGCATGCTTTCTCAGGACATATTCACAAGGTACGTATTGCAATAAATACGTTTAGCATGCAGAATTTCATGTGAAAGTAGTAATAAACGTTGACTTGTGAAACTAAGTCAACTCATCTCGAGAAAACCTGCTGACAAGGACACAGTTTAGGAGCAATGCAACAGGAGGCAAACGTTTGAAAACAGTTTTAATTCTTAAAAGTGTTTTTCGATAGTATCAAGTTTAACTCGTTCACTTCACTTTTCAAATAGCATTTAGTTAGTTTTTCTTCCCGTCAGCTCGGAATTTTAGCAATGTACGATCTGTTTACTGTATTTTGTTTACTGAATTTATTCGCAATGATCCAGATTACCACTGAGGTGCTGTTTATCTCAAAGATATGTTTTCTTCCATGCTGTCAATGCTCGTGAGCAAATGCAGCAAATAGGCTGGTCATTAGTTACAATAGTAATTATGGAAAGATATAAATCAATGATATTTTGACCTGAAGATTAGATAGCAGGTCGCGAGAAGAGGAGTCTGAAAATTTAGTTTTCGTGAGATTCGAACCTGTGCCTCCCAGATACTAACTGGTCGTCACCGCTAACTGCGCCTCAGAGCCACATATCGAAGGCCAGGCAAATTCACTAAGTTCTCCCATCCTTGTTCAGAGAGCCACGATCAACCACAAGATTGGAACAGTGACGTTTACAGAGCATGTTGTTCCAACATGCAGCTATCGCATGGGAACAGAGAAGATGGGCTTTGCTGTAGCAGTCATTGGTGGGTTAATTTCTCCTTACTGTCTTTCATACAATTCTTCTGATGTCATTATTATTATTATTATTATTATTATTATTAACAATTATTATTATTACTTTCTTGATCATAACAATAACCACTATAACCATCTTTATTATCCTTATCATCTTCTTTTCATAGGTGTGGATGGCTCTATTGTTTTCTCCGTTCTACCATTGCCCAAAAGATACCCATTTCTAATGACGTATTTAGGAATCATATGTGTATTTATTGTATTTGCACTGCAATGGCACTGCAATGGTTAATCTCGATGATATTATTTTGTTTGGAGATAGTTTTAGACGGGACATTAGTTTTGTTTTCAAACTTTCTTTAAAATTTAGTGACACTAGATTTAAGAAGAGTTAGTTACCTCGTTAGTTGGGTTCTCTTCTCCCCGCCCTTTGGAGCGAGAGAGACTGGGGAGTAGTAAGAAGAAAAGAAGAGAATCCCTTGAGACGAGTTAGAAGTGTATCTGGGTTATTCCGCAAGAAATTTGAAATTATCACAGAGAATAAGTAGAGAAGGAGCGTATACGTTTACGGCATGAATCTCTTGGCTTATCGATACCATTTTCTTGACAGAACTTAAACACTCCGATTACCGAAACGCTTCTGATTTTGTGGTTCACCAGGGACTTTGCTTGTGTTTACTTTCAATAAAATTAAAAATGTATACATGATCATGATTAGAGCTCTCGTGAGGGAATATTGCGCGAGGGTTTCCACCATGAGATGGAGGCGTGGAGGAGATGTTGATTTGAGATACTGAGGTACATATAAATGCTTCACCCATGTATGGAACCACACCCTTACCAAGTGCATAGGGAATTTAGACACTAAAGGATCGAGATAGTTATACTAAAACCTCGAAAATGAAAACAAAAGACGACATGACGTCCTTAAAAGTCCCTCTCTTTGATAAGTCTCCCACGGTGATAGGGCCCAAATATTAATATCTTACAAATCATTCTGAGATGAGGGGTTATTTCTCGTAGTTAATGGCATTATTTATTGCTTTACGTGGAGTTTTTAAGTTTCGAAATCAGGAAAGTACAGTGATAGACTAACGATAGAACTCTATTTTGTGTTCGGGATCAGCACCGAAAAAAGAGATAGGGGTACAGCTCACAACCACGAATAGCTCAAAAAAGGATTTAGAGCTGCGTGCGGCTTTATGATGGGCTCATCGTTAAAGTCTGAAGAAAGGACATCCTCGTGTTCTTCCTTTCTCATGAGGAGCAGCGTGCAAAAATACTCCTCTCCCTCGCGTATCTTGCTCCTTACACTCCTCTGCTCTTCTGAAAAAAATGACGCCTTTTTTACTCAGTCGAGATAGCTGCTATTTTCCGCTCACTAGCCAAGCAGGCGAGAGAATGCAACAGACGAAGTCACCATATGATTGTTACACTACCAATTTAGTTGCGCATCAGTCCGCGGTCCAGAATCGCGGGCTTTCATTGCCTTGGCGCACAGTCTTACTCGATCGCTGAGTCACCTGACGTTGCACTCGTTTCCGATCTCTTGTGTGTAATGATGTTCTCTGTGTGGCCAAAGTCTTCGCTAATCGATGATATAACCACAATATGCGTCTCGAAACTCGATCCACTGCAAAAGGTTACGCTTGCGGCGAAAGTTGTCGGTGATAACGGCGGAGTGTTCGAGTCGCATGCTCACTTCATCGCTGATGAACATGGCCAGGTTGATGTTGGTCGTGACCCGTCTGTGGGTGGATCTTACAGTGGAGTTTCAGCTATGGGACTGTTATGGAGCATGAAACCCGCACCGGGTCAGATAAAAGGACTTAGACTGATAAAACACGATGTCACGAAACCGTATGTTATCGAGCTGAAATGCTTCAATGACCACATAGCCTCAAGGGAAACATCTAAGCAGCCTATGGCACTCACGACATTTCTGAAGGGGTACATGGCAGATGGCGTGAGGCGAATTCCTGTGAAAGAGGGTAGAATCCGTGGAACATTATTTCTACCACCGGGCAATGGACCTTTCCCAGGTAATTTAAAACGAAGTTTGAATCGGTAGACTTTGTGAGTCACCTTTTTAGTTACTTGACTTGTTAGGACTCTGTATTTGGATAGGAAGGATGCTCTCCCAGACATAATTAGTTGAGATAATTTTCCAGAACAACGTTATGATGTTCTTTCGCCCCTCGCTCCTTCCAATGTTGTTAATTGCTACTGTGTCTATGCCATCTTGCAGACCAATGTAGGGAGGGGAGGGGGGGTCAGGAGCTGGGTGTCCCAACAAATGTGTGGGAGTGTGGGTGCAGTTCACAAGGTACATAGTCTGAGACAAAAAATCAAACACAAGGTAGCAAAATGAAAACATGGAAACCTTAACCAAAAGAACCAAACAAAAAAGATCATTTGAATAAAACAAACAACATATTATGAAAATAGAACACAGGGAAACAAAAGTCAGCCAGAACAAAGGTGAAATTAAGGAGAAGGAAGGTGGGTTTTACTCCCTATTGATTCTGTGCCTTCTGAGCTCTCCCTCAGTTGTGCTTCAATTCTCAAAACTCAAAATAAAAATATGCTTAAAACATACAGCCATCAGTTGAAGGTTTATAAATTTGATTTAACCTGGGAGGAACTTGGTTGACACTTGAGGGTGAATGTAGAAAGTAAGGAGTGACCCTGAATTGTGCAACAAATATTAGTATAGGTAATCACATGATTTCAAGTACAATTTGTAATAAATAAACACGAGTAAATTTTGAGTGGTCTTTGAAAAAATTTACAAGAGCCTGTTTATTCCAAATTGTACGAGAAAAATCATGTGATCACACATTAGTAATATGTATGAAAAATATGAAATAACTTATCATAATTATGCAGAAGCAAAGCGCGTGTATCAAGTGCAAAAATAATTTATTCAAATCCTGCAAGTGACATTGTGTGTTTGGTCAAAACAGTCAGTCAGTCATAATATACAATGATATTTTCACATCTTAAAGGTGCAAAAAAGTTCAAAGTCCGGCTAAACAGTTCAAGGAATTGTTCAGTCTAGTTTGTTCCTTCTTTGCACTGAATGAACCCTCTTCTGCTTTGAATTACCTGAAAACTGCATTTATCTTAATCAATCAGAACTGAGTAATTTTTTCATGTATCTTATTAGGAGTTAAACACATACCTCTATAACTTAAGGCAGCAAATCCCATATTTTTTTACTGGTATTAAACTGCTAAAAAGACCTATTTTGGTGAAAGCATTAAAAAAAAGGGATTAAAAACCAACAGCGACAAGTCAAACCATGAACAAAGACATTCATGAGCTCTTTCTTGATTAATATCTCACAGCATTTTCCAGTACTACTCTATTATTAGGACTTGATGTGGCTTTTCTCATGCTCATTTAAACCATGGTTGATATGTAGTAACAAGATGGTGACACTGGAAGGCAATGTCTTTTTTCCTTATGGATTAAAATTTGTCATATATGTCTCTTGGTTATTTATTTATTTATTCATTTTTTTTCCTATGAATTTGATTTCTGTAATCTAGTCTTGTTATTAACTTTAAGCTATTTCTATCAATATTTGAATTGGCCCTTTGAAATGATTGTCTTTGCAAAATCATCCTTAATCTCGACTTGATTAGTGAAGCCCAAATTTACCCAAATAACCTTATATTTTTAGGGAGGTTCTTATGTATGTTAACTGTATTATTTTAGCATGTGGGAAACAAACCATTATCAATTTGGAGCCTTCTAGTTGGGACATGCTCAGTAATAGAGGTGGCACCCTTTGAAATTCTGTTTTGTTTTTGAGTATTTGCAAACTATTTCAATGTATTACCTTGCAGGTACCTTTCTTCCCCTCCCCTTCCCTTCCCATTCCTTCCCCATTGCATTAATTAAACAAATTTCTGTGAAAATTTGCTTGTTGCTAGTGATAAGCATGATGACCAGGTCTAAGCTCATGTAATCCTGTATGCTAGGCATAGGGCCACTCTATATTCCACTTTCTAGTCTGAATGAAAGCAAATTTAACTGCCTTTGGCTCAAGTTCTTCACCCCATCACTGCAGTTGGGAATAGAGGATTTTTGTCGTCTCATGATAAAATTTACCTGATTCCCCCATAGGGCTCTGTGATAGGGCTCTGTGCAGTTAATTGGCATCAAATTTCTTATTTAATTTTATTTATACTCTGTTGGAAATGATTGATCCCCCTGTTCAAGACCCAGTTCAGCCTCATTTTTGTTCAGTTTTTGTCATCTTCATGTAACACTACTTGTGATTCAACTCCATGCTTATACACCGCCTTTACAAATTCCCGATAGGAGCCATTTCGATTTTACATCGGTACACTACTTCACTTTATTTAAGGCCCTGAACAGTGAGTAATGAAACACATAACAGGTGCTGAAAAATTTACTTTAACTTGCTGTGGCGACCCAAATGGTTGCAGCTTGCAATACTGGTCTAAAAATGTGGTTTGTTTGTTATTTTTTTAAGGTGTCATAGATCTACTTGGCGGAGCCGGTGGACTAGTTGAATTCAAGGCTTGTCTGCTGGCCTCTCATGGCTTTGCCGCTCTTGCACTTGCTTACTTTGCATACGATGATCTTCCTGTCGAACCAGAATACTTGGATCTCGAATACTTTGAAGAGGCAGCAGAATGGTTTCGCAATCATCCCAGTGTTGTGTCAAATGGCGTGAGTTTGCACTCAATCTGTTTGGGAAGCTGGCTTGGGCTTCTCCTTGCAAGCTACCGAAACGACTTGGTAAAAGCTGTGGTAGCGATATCACCATGGAATGCCCCTTTTTGGATTCCTTACGTATACAAAGGAAAACTGTCAAATGTATTTCGCTATGAAATCGAAAATGTGCAGGAAACAGATGAAGGCATCATATATAGCGATTGTGTGGCGCGTGCGAAGGAATTTGCTCCTCCTTCAGCCGAGTTAGCAGCACTCACACCAATAGAACGAATCACGTGTCCTGTATTACTCGTTTATGGAACTGATGATAAGATCATTGATTCGGAATTCACCACAAATTGTATATCTGAACGTCTGAAAGCAGAGGGAAAGGAATCCTTATGTACCATTTTACGACATCCCAATGCTGGTCACCTAATTGAACCTCCCTACACTCCACTTACTCATTTAGCATATATGAAGATTTTTAAGCAATATTGGGTGTCTGGAGGGAAGCCCAACGAACACGCCTTAGCGCAGGAAATCACGTGGAGGAAAATTTTAGATTTCCTTGGACAAAATCTAAGGACCTGTAAGAGCAATTTATAGTACAAACAAAAACACAAAAACGATAAATTGTTATGGTCTTAAGAGCTAAATCCAATCGGATGTATGCTTGTTGTATTCCAGGGTGATCAATAGATTTTTAAAATGCCAATGTTCCAGATTTAAAATTTTTTGTGCGTTTGAAACTGACTTTTCCAACTTAGTGCAAACAAACACGGTCGCGATTTGTAAAAATCTGAAATGATAATGGCAGGAGAGCGAAGGGAGAAAGAGGAATAATGAACTAAACAAACAAAAAAAAGATCTGGACACTTGTCATAGCAAAGACACCTGCTTCATCCTTAATATATACGATGACGCTAACAGAATATACTTTCATCACTCGCTTCCGCTCGCCTTCGGTCGCTGTGGAAATTCTGAAGGTGAAATCAGGGCGAAGCTAGGCAAACAAGTTGATTTTCTTCGAAAACAGCATTGATTAGGTAAGGTAATGTATGTAAGTGGTCGATTTGATTATTGAGTTCTGTTCCCTGTTTTTTCTGCGTAATGTCTAAAACATTATCCACGTTGAATATGTTTTAAAACGTAGCGAAGGCGGTTTGACATTTGAAGCAAGTCTCGTATTGCTTCGTGATCAAAATAGAGAGTTTAGTTTAACGATAGATGTTATGTTGCCTGTTTCTCTACTCGTTTTAGTGAAAAACAGTGATAATGTTGAGTTTGGATATGGTCAGAAATCTTTTTTCTAGCTGCTTAATTTTTCAACAAAGCGATTTTCTGCGATTTAGACCACGATCAACCGCATTTGCACTGCAGCTGTTAAATTAAAGCGGACCAGAATCGAGTAAGAAATCCGAAGAGGGGCATCTAATCCGTAAGAAAACATATTGATCAGTTAAGTCACTATGGCTAACCAATATGTTATATTTCTTGAATGTCATAAATTGATGTCTGATTCATTTGGGGAAAGCTCAAGTCCAACATATCCGCCACTGGCGCTCGCGAAGTTGAATGAAATGGCTACCATATCGTTACAATATAGTTCAGCTTTGGAAGGGGAATTGCAAAAAGAAAAATAAAAAAAAAGGTTTCACAAAATTAGAACATGGCTTCCAGTCGCGAATGCGTTTTTCCGATTCAACATTCTTTGCTGCGAAAACTAGAAATTCAACTGTCTTTGTGATCTTTCGAAAGCAAATTAGCGAACAGTTTTCTATTGAATGAATTGCCCGTTTGGGAGCGTCATTTTTCTGAATAAATATACGACCTCATACACAAAGCCGCCAACCTTTACAATAGTGTTCAGCCAAATCTAATTACCTATTGCATTACGGTGTATTGAAGTAACAATACGTATTTAAAAGCGCTAAGAGTTCCGTAGCTGGTACCCCTGGAACATTGAAACATGGTGAGAATGGCTTGGAAAGGAGCTGTGCTTAGCAACACAACCTACCCCCCTCCCACCCCCCCTCACTCCCCTCAATCCTTTCTTTCGTGGTGTCGAGTGTAATAGTTTGCGTAGATGGTACGTTTTTCGATCGCTTGAATCAGGAATGGGGAAGCGACAAGACAGCCAGCTACTTAGCAAAGAAGCGCGATTGACTTAAAAACAGGCTAAAGGACTCTGAACGATTTGATTACACAAAATTGACATACTAGCGAGATGAAATTTAATTTTTATGTTCGGCTTGGGCCAAACAACATCATGAGGGCCAGTTAATTTTGATTTCGATTTCCAAGATGTCGAGATTAAAGATCTGAAGATTAAAGTTCAGTAGGAAACCGACAATAATTCCACTTTTTGCATTCCCAGTGCCATAAATATTCTCCAGCTCGGGGCGGATAGTAGACGATCTTATTCTTTTGATGCCTTTCCTCATTATGTCAAATTGTTGTTAACATTAATATTGGAAAACCAATGGGAAATTCGACAATCTATACACAATTTGAATTTCAAATTTCCATTGTCATGACCGCCAAACTGAGCCGAATGTTTTGTATCTTGGCTGTCTATATTTATTCAGTCTGACAATTCTTCTAAACAAACCACTACATGCCGAATTTGTTGCTATGTGTGTGGTTCGGCTCCTTAAATTGTAAATATTGTCAGCGATCATATATTTCCGAAATACTGAGATACATTTTTCTCCAAAGTTAGCTTTAACACCGTAGATTGAGTGAATTAAATTAAAATTTTCTTTTCCTACTGGCATTGAAAGCAAAGCGTATGTGGAGTATTTCATATATGGATATAAAAAATATGGAGTTTGAATGTGGTGGTTTAATTTTTTAAGAACAAATGCATTTTTTTGATGATTTCCGATTGTAATTTGTATTTCATTTAGTTCCTGTATCTTTTTTTTCGAATATGAGTGAGCGTAATTTTAATTTTCCTTTCAATACGTGTTCCAAACATTGTATGACTAGTTCCTGAATATTTAAATTTTCGTACATAGCTGTCAAGTTTGAATTGTTTGTCAAGTAGAAACCATTACTTACAAATCGTCAAAGAAAAAATCTATTCAAAGCTTCATTCGAAAATAGCATCATTTGCCGCTTTCAGAGTGTTTGTTTTTGTGCAGGAGTTTTCGTTTATGCAAATAATCGTTGATGACTCAGTTTTCAGTGGAAATTTCGCTTACTGACTTTGTAGAGAACTTTGCTCTGCCAATATAAAATCTCGTCTACATCGATATTTATTCAAAATCTAAATTCTACGAAGAATTGCGAGTTAAATGAAAAACCGCTTTCGTTACCCGGATTTGTTTACCTAATCTCCACAAGACCATAATCTTTGCATACACATTTTCTTTGGATGCGTTATTCATAAGGCTTGTCTCCACTCTGTTTGACAGGTCGGTATAAAAACCGCCTCATTAAATATTAAAAATATCGAAGTTTTTTTGCGCCTTCTGGCGAAAAATCTTTCCGCGATCTCCTCTCAAGGTTTGTTAGAAATAGTAGAACCTCCTGATATTTTCTTTTTCGACAAATTTCTATGTACTATTGCGGAATTAATCTTTTTTTTCGCTTTTTTGTCTTCGCAGCTGTAAACCGACTTCTCTCGAGTTGTGAGCACAGGATAAATGCAAATTTTTATGAGGTCAAGATAGCTACGAACAATCTGAAAATAGAAGAATACAAGTCGGCAAATTGAACAAGAATACAGTCAGCCTTTGAAGGAAACAACTCCAGCCAACGGAGAATCAAAAGAGACTTTCCTAAGCGGTTAACATTGATTTATCATTCAGGAATCGCCGACCAAGAACGCGCAAACTATCAAGAGGAAACAAAAGTAAAGAACATGAATTTATTTGATTTAGGAAACAACGGATTGAATACTTTGTAGTGAGCTTGTAACAAAGGTTCTGGCTCGATTGATCAACAAATCTGGTGATCCGATGCTTTCATCAGTTTGATCTGGTCAGCCTTCTCGCTAACTGAAGTAAATCCTATTACAAACCTTGTGACGAATTTTGACAGTCTGAACGACGGCCATATTGATTTATCTGGGACGAAAGATCATCGACTGCACAAGGACTGTCCTTCGAAATCTTGAATCAACAAAAGTTAACGGCCTTTAACTCTGTAAAAAAGCTCATATAAATATCCCTGCTTCAGAAGGAAGAAGTGCAGTTGGAATTACTAGTCTGAATTTCATCTGGAGACTGTGTAAATAGTCACCAACATGTGTTGTAGTTGTCTTTGTAGTTGCATTCAAAGTTTTCTGTCAAATTGTTGCAAATGCCTTGGCAAGAGTTGTATGGCGATATGCCGGGGGATTTGCCGGTGTTTCTGCAACGCCGTTTCCCCTGGTTGTGGTTTCCTTCTGCAAATCATCTTTTACGCCATATTTCAAGGCTTCAACATTGGCACTGACGTCGGCGTCTTTTTAGAAACGTCCAAGACATACGCGCGTTGCGATGAGCTTTCAACCGGGATGCTTCAACCTCTGAGCAACGACACAAACCTGACGCGTCCTTACTGCGTCGCGACGGAAAACGCTACGCAAGCGTTGCTAGGTGAAAAAGCAGCAACGCTTCAACTCCTAGAGGGCGTTTTCTTTTTCTTCATATGCCTCTCTGGTGGGATTTACGTGATCCACATAGTTGTACTGTTCCCGAACACGTGCAAACACTGGAATGATGAAAACTTCGAGAACATGGTCAGCGAGGCTGGTCCTTACTACCAGAAGATCCTTCAAATTCACACCCTGTTTCTACTGCTGGAGACGTTGGTTCACGATGTGCCTATGTCGTGTCTGGCTGTAGAGCTTTGTGCGCAGATGTGGGGAGCCGGTGGCATAAACTGCTGGGATTGTGCCCTAACACCTCAAGAGCTCCCTAAAAATCCCATGGCGCAGATCAATTGTGAGATGTGGCTGGGACTTCTCCTGGGCTCCATAGCTATTGTGAGCATTTACAAGGGTAAGTGAAAAGTATTCTATCTATTTATTCCAGCATTTATTTATTTATTTATTTTTGATCTGGCTCAAACATTACCTATACATGTAAAAAAAATCAAAACAAGACAAAACATGGCTAAACAAAACAAAGGGAAACCCAGGAATAGTATATTACTCCAAATAAAATCTTTGCGTATTTGCAGTCCTTTTATTTACTTCGCCCCCAATTTTCATCTGTAAGGTTTCTTTCATAACGGGTCTCGTGACTTTTGACTGTCAATCACTTATCAACTCCAGACCTACAAATAACGTGTTCTTCCCAGGCTGCTTTATATCTCTAAATCATATTTTCATCTCAGGTATCTTGCCTCTTTATTCATGGATTGGTAATCCCTTCTGCTGGGCCTGCTATCCACTTCGCGTGTGCGTGGTGCTCCCAGCTGGGTTCCTTTACTGTGTGCTCGCCTTATCCCCCGCCATGGGAGTGGCCATAAATCGCCTGTTTAAAGTGGCGCCCCAGATGAAGGACGAAATGGGAACAATAGCATCGACCATTTGGACCTTTGGCTTGTTCTTCTGGGGTATCATATTTTTGCTGACCTTCCTGTACTGGTACTTCTGTGGTAAATGTTTATGTATGTTGTGTTGTCCCTGTGAGAGGAAGGAAAAAGCCGATGGCTCCAAGGAGGGATGTTTGTGTTGTTAATGAGATCAAGACGGTGAAATATGAATTGTCATTTGGTTTCTTGATTGCGAAAATAGTTTGTTTACGTTTGATTACTACTTTTAATTTTTGTTACTTCGCATAATTTTGGAGAGCATGCTAATTCGGGAAAAATGGTGGTTCCATTCAGTCAGTCGTTTCAAATAATTACTGTCTCATTTAACTAAGATTCGGTTTGTTTTTGAGGCCAAGGCTTGAGTAATCCATATTACAACTATAATGATATCATGATCCAAGTCCACACTCGGAGAAATAAGTGACCTTGGCTCACCAAAACAGGAAGTTAAAGAAAAACAAGACTCCCTGTAGAAATAAGAGCGCATGACGTTTCCGCCTATGTAAAACACTTTCGGTTGATTGTCGTGAGAAAATCGAAGAAAGCGTAACAGCCAATCAGAATGAAGATGAATATCGCTGGGATCGAGACAACGTTCAGTATGGCGCTGTTGAAATCATAAGCTCTATAAATTGTCCTTATATTTCTTTTATATATCTCTTATATTTAAGTAACATTCCTCTGCCTCTTATCGAGACAAATTAATGTTGCTGTCTAAAGATTTCAAAATAGTGAAACTCTCACCCAAGATTTTAGGTGCTCTGATATTTATGCTGCTTGTAAATATCATTATTAGTCTATCATTTTATTATTATTATTATTATTATTATTATTATTATATTTATTATTATTTTAATCAAGATCAAGTATGAAATTAAATGGAGATAGAAGGTGAAGTAAATGTCATAAAAGGTAACAGCCTTTTTGCGTTACCGAAGCAAAGAAAGAGTTGGTATGAAACTCTCTAAGGTTTTTTTTCTTTTCTCAGCTGTCAACTTCACATTCCACTATTTTATTTGTACAAAGTTTCATTTTTTTTAGTAAAGATATCATATTTATTTTTTGGTAGGCTAAAACAGAAAAAAAATAGTTAAAGTGACCAAACCAAAACGCTGAGTCTGCATCTATAATACAACCTCCTCAGGAGGAATAACCGGGACATCAGGAAAAAGGTTGTTAATGATTATGTGTCAATTGGATGTAACTTGGGTAATAATTTAAAGACTTAAATCAACCAGTTTCGTTGTGATTTATTCGTTAGGAAAGTAAATTCCGGTTTCATTTCATTCAGTTTGCGCAAAGTTAGCATGTATAAAATAACTTATGAAAATTTAGTTAATTTTGTGAATGTATCTGGTTTAATTTGCCATGGAAGTGATAAGAAAAAACATATTATTTTGTAGAACATATTAGTTAGAAATATACTTTTTTTATCATTATCTGTAATGTCAATATAAGGAAAAAATCAATCATGTATTTGAAAGTCCTTTTCAACCTGACCTATTATTTTTGAAAAAGAGAGTAAGACATATTGAATCAAAGATTATTTGCAGTAATCTCTCTCAGAGCAATTTTCAATTGAATGTCGAACGTAGTAAAGGATTGCTTTGGTTTTCTTAAACTTGCTCTGTGACTGTTCCAGAAAATTCGCCAAATCCTCTCAACCAATCAGGTGCAGAATTGAAAACGATCGCGAGTTGGTCATTCGCGTTTTCCTGAGCGTTTTCCCGCGCTTCCAGCAGCTTGCTTGTTATCACTTTGAGTTCTCATTGACTTATGATAATGTGAACCCTTGTTCTAATTGGTCATTGGATTACGTTTTTCGACGCTCAATTCAAAACTGTTCTATCATATTAATACAACTTGTATTGATCTGGCGTGGGGTTATTATTGTTTAAGGAATATTCCTTTAGGTCGAGCCAACTGATCTCAAATGAAAAAGGCCTTTTACTGGGTAGCCAGAGAAATGCAGTTGTTAAATGATTTCAAATGAACTATTTTCATAATGCAGTAGTGATCAGGAGAAATTAAAACATGAATGCCTAGTACTATGTATACTATCACTTGGACAATGGAGCCTGGAAACACAAGCTAACCGTGGGTAAACCCAAGTGTTTACTAACTGCAAGCCAATTTCAGTCGGTAGGACTAACAGGACGTGAACTGAAGAGTTCCTTGCAGAAGTTACAAATTGTCTCCTGGTATAAATTTCAATTTTGGAGTAACAGCGTAACAGAAGTTAGAGTGGCTGTAACTGGCTCTAAAAGTTGATTAATTATTTGAGTATGAAAAGAGTCACATGTATCTAAGAACATACATCTATTTACATTTTCCTTTGTGATTGTTTTCACGCACAATATCATGATAAAAGTTGCTCATTAGTGATTTTTTGCTGTGTTAGATCTAACACAACGCTGCGACATATCTTACCCTTTGCAAGAAGTCACTTTGGTAAAGTTTTGCTTGTGGGGCAAATTTTGATGATCTGTCGAACGCTCTTGAGACATGACTGTGATGAGTGCAAGCGATATATAGCAGCAAGAAACCACAGGAGAGTACCGATTTGTCGTCGAATGACCCCTTCAATATCTAGCAATTTTAAAAGCGCGATGCTTCGGCAACAAATCTGCGAAAAACACAAGACGTACTAACTGACGATCATAGTTTGCTATTTATTTAGCTATAGTTTTACTCAGCATTGTGCTTGCACTCAGATCGAAAGCGGCCCACTGGACTGTTGTTGTTTCTTTAGATTTCATTTCTTGACCTACTATGAAGACAATAACCTGACTGTTTGCTTAATTAAGTATAAAATCGTAAGAAAACAATAAATTATTATTTTCAAAGCTGTACGGTTGTGGATACCTTGTTCTGTCAGTGAGTTTTAATTAGAAGATATTTCCATCCCGTCATAAGAGTCCAACGACTACACACGAATAACGTTTCTATTTGCAAACATAAAGTATTGCACACGTCATGAAAATGTTCATTTTGCCACTCACGAAAGACAGACGCCGAGTTTTTGTCATTCCCGCCAAGGAAGTTATGGTTTCTTTTTTTTTTCGTCATGCGTCTCGATATGCACTCTATCAGTCCCTTTTCTTACCAGCCGCACTGTAAAGTGCTGTGCGAGTCAAAGTGTTTAAGTATGTACCCTATCCTTAAACTCCTGCATGGGGATATGAATTTTCCATATGTTTACTTCTTAACCTCATTTTCCACTGGTTTAATCCAACTGCAAGACACAAACATCGTAATGGCAGATAATTGAGTCTCGATACTTGGATAAAGACGCACATCAGAAGCTTTTCAGTGATGATAACACTGACTAAGAATCGTTACAACAATGCGCAATAAATATTGCTCACAAGCATCTCAAAGCACTGGAAAATGATATTTTAGCTTCTGCAAATGACAACCTCTTTTTCCGAAAAGCGTTTACAAACACTTAAAGATTATAAGTGGCTCAATAGTGATCTAAGTGCATTGTACATATTAGTGACTAACAAGTTGAAGCGTTTATCATAGGGCCATTGTATAACAGCCAGCATCAAATATGTTTATATTGAGTTCTTCTCAGTTTGGCGCCTCTGTGTTGCTAATTTTTATGTTCGTTTTAGAATTTTGCACTTAGCTGTTCCTAGCTTCTTATCATCAGTTACATGCACGTAAATCACTAGTAATGTTTATTTATTAGAGGCCAAAAGTGGCTTGCGAGAAATTGATACGCCTCCTCATGAACGTGGTAAGGAGAATGTAATGAAAATGTCTATCTTTTTTTTTTTTTTTTTTGGATTGAGGAGAAAATCATTGGCATGGGAAGCGTGATTCACAAATTTTCTCTTTTTTTCCACCTAGCTGTCTCTGCAGAACCAATCTTGCGTCAGACTACAAGACTCTTTTATTCAATTCAAAGAACGCGCGACCTAAGATTTCCAACAAAATACTCCCAAGGGAGATATTATTACAAATGTCATACGCAGAGGGAGGGGGAGGGAGGAGGGGGAGGATAGGTGTTAAATCTTCACTTTAAGAGTTTTTTCCTCGGCTGGGCGTTAGAGATCATAACTAAAAAATGGTCCTCTCAAGGACACCATACACGATAAGCCCCATGAGTGAGAGAGAAATGTGTTAGGAATGCCTCTGCTGAATTTGATTAATTTTAGGGACTCCTGAAAGGAGAAAAATAATTCAAACTGGAATGCATACCGCAACAAGTAAAGCCTTAGTATGGCGATCTAACCGTCGATAGCACTTTTCAGGGACAAACCGTGTCTTGCTTACACAGCGGAAACCGTCGTCTGTTTATGCTTTCTCAAGCACCTTAATGTCTAAATTAAATCAATATTCCTACAGAAGGAATATAACTTTCTTCAAGTAAAAACAAAATTCAAGAAATCTTGCAAGGTTCTTTTAGAGTGAGGCTGGCAGCAATCCTTTTGATTTAAAGTCAAAACATTTAAAGATTCTGAATCAATATAATTACTTCGCAAATAGGTCACGCTCGAACTGTTTTGGCAACTTTATGCAAATATCCCCTTCTATGAACCATCAGCGCAATACAATAAGTGCTTTACGGTCTCTTGGGTTTGTCGCTTTCCTCCGCTTTAATTAGAACCTTCCCTTCCACAAAACTTAAGTGAGCATATTTGGGGAAATTTTGGTGCTTTTCTCAAGCTATCAGCGGTCAAAAGCTAAACAGGATGGCCATTGAGATGACAAACATTTTCTGGACCTAAAGGTATTTGAGAAATACTTTTAAACTGGTGTTTGGTTTTTACTAAATATCGTGCTCTGAATACTCAAATACCTCTAAAAGTAAAAGTGGCGTATATAGCATTTTCAAACATACGCAAACCGGGAAGGATGGAGCCAAAACCACAACTGAAACCAACGTGTAATAGATCTAGTACTGTAGTAAGATTACTTAGGAGAGAGGTTGTTTTCGAAAACTCATGATCAAACGTGATTGACAGCCATTTAGTGCCAAAAGTGCAATAACAAAAATATTGATAAACCAGGAATTGTCAAAACAAGTCTATGAAATCATATTACTTGTTGACATCTTCTTTTCAATGCTTAGATTATCAGCTTCTCTAACACTACGAATCTTAACAGTTCTCAACCTTTCTCAACCTGAAGTTCAGTTCTCAAATCTTCACGACACAAAATGGCGGATCGGCTTTGTGAGTTTTGCATTGGTTGTTGTTCGACGATTTGCGCCGTATTTTGCCGAGAAATTACAATGAAGACGGCCTACACTATCCAATTTGTCATATACAGCATTTTACAAGGATACAACGTCGCTTCAGACATTGGAATGTTTTTTGACGTTTTCAACGCGGTAAGGAAATGCAATGAATTAGGAGAGAACTCAAATGCGAATGGAACTCAAGTCGATCCGGGAAGGACAAACGTCTATTGTAGAGCACCAGGAAACTTTACAGTGTCAGATCTCGACAAGCACATCCTAACCTTAGAAATTCTTCAATGGTTTTTCTTAATTTTTGCTGGGATTGGTGTGGCGCTCTACATCGCCCACGTATGCACTCTACTTCCAAATTTATGCAAGCACTGCCGAGAACCAGAATTTGAACACGACCTTGGCTCACCAGATACACCAAAATACTATCGAAGTATTGTACACATTCATACCATGTTTATGTGCATAGAGACTTTTATTCATGACATTCCCGTATCCTGTCTGGCAGTGGAGTTGAGCGTGCATTATTTTGGGTCAGCAAACTGCTGGGAATGCGCAATAAGTGCCAGCTCGGTTCCAGCCGAGCTTTCTTTGAAAAGAGGCAGTCTGTGGATTGGGCTAAAAGTGTCAGCGGTTGCATTAATCACCATCTATAAAGGTAAGACAACTGAAAATAACATTACACCGTTTATCTACTGATCAACCCTTTTGGGCTGTTCCGGATGGGTTACGAGGAAAGCTTCTTCAATGCAGCTGGAAATTTCGCTGGTTTTAGTTTTAGTCGTTTTTCCCGATCATAACAATAATAATTTTAAAACTTAATGTAGCACCTTTTAATCTTAAAAAGATCAAAAACGCTTTACATTAATTTAAAAATATCTATAAAATACAATATAATGAATTATAAGAAATATCTATAAAACCTAATACTAAAAATAACCAATTGACCACCCCCAAGAAATGTTACTCGTTGTAAGCTAAATTAAAAAGATGTGTCTTAAAAATGCTGAGTGATGTTATTTCCCGAATATTTGCTGGAAGGCTGTTCCACAGCGTGGGCGCAGAAACATAAAATGAACGAGCTCCTAATGTAGATATCATACGCCCCTTAGGACGATCCAAAAATAATGAAGAATTCGATCTAAGGGAATAAACAGAACACGACTTAATGGACTCTAAGTTACTAATGTAGCTAAGTGACATATTATATATAGCCTTAAATGTAATAATTAAAATTTTAAAATAAATACAGTAAAACACAGGTAGCCAGTGCTGGTTATATAAAGCTGGTGTGATATGATCGTACTTTCGTCTTCGATCCACCCAAAAATTTACACAGAAAAGAGAAAATCCATCAGAATAATGAAAAAACACATCCTTGATGTACCCTTGTTGCAGTAAACTAAAAAAACCGCTTTTCATAAACAGGTGTTAGACCAATATGCGTGGGACGTAAACAAAGGTCGCCCACATTGCTTTTGCTTTGTTTACGTCCAACGTATATCGCCTATTTCCCTTTTTTATTTTTCTTCAAGGGCTCAAATAAATAGTCTATATTTTTGTATTGCAAACTCCACTACACGACGAATATGATATAGAACACAGTAAATTTACTGAGTTTCTTTATAGGCAGGGTGTACTACCTTGAAAAACGTTCACTACTGGGACAGAAATTTACAAAAATTGCCTCCAAGCTGAGATGAAATTTCAGCCATTAAAATTTTATCTTGCAAAACCGAAAAAATATCCAATCAGCAAAATAAACCTTTCGCAAAATTTACATCCCACATACAAATATCACTTTGCGTTTAGCATTCTGTTTTTCTGATCGTCGTGTAGGTATCTTTTCCGGTATCTATTCAATATTTACCTAAACAGAATCATTCTGAGGAGGCCAGAACTCTTAAGTACAATTACAACCTCAGAAGGATAACCTTTAAAGTATTGGTCATATGGAGGAATGAAGCCTTCAATTAGTCTCTTGTGTTCTATTGTCGATTCGTTCCCCAATTATTGACATTCTTCACAGGTATCCTTCCGCTGTACTTTTGGATTGGAAACCCATTCTGCTGGAGCTGTTATCCTCTGAGGTTCCTGATCGCTGCACCAGCCGGGCTTGGTTTCATGGTAATGGTCCTGGCTCCATGTATGGGCATTGCGAAGCTCCGAGTCATGGTAGAAGTCCCAGATTTGGCGGGAACTGTTGGCGCACCTTCCGACATCATCTTCATGATTGGACTGGTTTTCTGGGTCATATTAATCGTCGGCTTCCTGGCCTACAAGATATTCTACAGTTTTATCATGGAGTTGTGTCCTTGCCTTGCTTGGTGTGAGGACGACGATAAGAAAAAGAAAGACGCCAAAGAGGAGAAGACAACTGGATGCTTATGTTTCTAGTAATGTAACTTTACAAACCAGAACCGGACTGTCTTGGAAAAGAAGATTTTCTTTATTTCCGGATTAAATTCCTTGCTTTATTTAGTCTATTGTCATAAGTAGTATATGCAAGATCATCATATGCATATGCGCATCCAGAAATTGACATAGAAATTTTTTGATACGAATGTGTTTAAGAGAAAGTTGTTCCTCAAGCTTAGGCCTAACCAGGAGTTTTGCGAATTTAGGTATCAGGGGTCTGCATGTTATACTCAGGTATACGATATTTTGTCAAGACAATGCATTCTTGAATTCTTTGTCTTTGGTAAATGACACAAATCAACAACCCGAGGCAATTTTAACTTCTTATAGTTTTAAAAGTTTTATTTTTTTTAAATTTGTGTGTGCTAATAATTACAAGTACTCTATAAAAATACAATCAAGGGAAAACTGGCTTGTTAAAAGTAGCGCAGAAATAAGGAAAAACTCTGTTAGCTCTTGTTTAAAATACCTTAAAGCCTGAATTTGTAAAAATAATGGAGTTCATACTTTGGCTTTTTGTAGAAAGATTTAGCATGAAATTGACGAGCAGACGCTTTGGAGAGAAATAAAATTCACAACCAAATTATGTTATCTTGCTTTTCATGTATTTTTGTTGTTTGTTAAATAGTCACGATTCAATAGGCTGAGCCAATAACACTCATGATGACGTCATTTACTGAAAATCCACCTTCAGGCCTCGTTTGTCGGGGTATATTTATAACTCTTTGTTACTTTCTTGTTGTTTCCGCAGGCTGTTCTTTAAATTTCAATGTTTTGGGAATACCTTTTGCACATTCAACAGTCCGCTCATTAAAAGCGAAACCCGAAGAATTTATAAAGACGCGGAGTTAGATCCATTCATTGATCAAAGCTGAAACTGTTGTGCATGTGAGAGCACATGCAGCATCGTCTCATGGGGGAGGAGAAAGGGAGGGTAACGTTCTTATTGAGGGAGGCACGCGTGATCATCAAGATATCGCTGCCCAAGGCAACATTATACATGTTCAACTCTACGTATCCATGAAGGTACCACATTACTAGTGATGTACAAGGTTAAATAAGACGTCACGTCCATCTCCAAGATTGAGGGAACGCCGCGATTCTGTAGGCGTGGTCTAACTTGTTTTTTACATTAGCTGTTCAAGGGGGTAAAATGTTGACAGCTCTTTTTCGTAACGATTAGCAACAATTCCATATAATCCTGCCACCTTCCTTGTATATAAATCTGTTCGAAGTTCTTTATATAAATTTTGGCTTTCGTAAAACAGTGCTCAACACATAGGAGTAGAGCGATTTATATATTGTGGGAGGAAAAAGACAAGTAAACTATAAGTTCATCCTTACAGGCCTGTTTCGTGTTTGCCCACTCATCAGGGGATTTAATGAGAATAATCTTTACCATCGCTTATACACAATATAGTCTAATTTATGCAGCGCGAAATTTAACAGTTTAGTTGTTGCGTTGGAGGGCCTTGTTTCTGTGGCGGCAGGAAGGCACGAGTTCATTACATTTGTTTAGTGTTGATAGTTCGGGTCGACAAATGATTAGGAATTTTTCTTTGAGGCAGAGATTACATCTTTTACTTGAGCTGTTGTACGGCGAGTGTGATGAGAGAATGCGCCAGGAAATAAAATGCTCGATGTTGTTGTCTCTGAGGATCCAGATGTGCTTGCTGAGTTCGGTGGAGTTTCTGTGTTTAGCGTGGCGGAATGATGCGGTGTGGTTTCTGCATCTTCTTTTGAAGTCGTTCTCTGTGAGTCCGATGTACGTTTCTGTCGTGTTGT